TGTGTCTTTCATATGTCATTGATGGAGGTGCCTAGCAGAGCCTTTAAAATTGCAGTGTTCATTGGGTCAGTAGTATATATGGAGGGTTAGGATGGGTGTCAACCTTCTCTGATACCTAGCATGTCATATGTGATGGAACCTGGTGTTAAAGTGAACATGACACACAGCACTCTATTTGCACTGTGGTGTGGACAGGGGTTAATGTCCAGTATGGCCCAGTAACTAGCAGTACAGCCTGAGACACAGCACATTGTACAGCATAGGAAGGAGTCCAGTAGAAGCTGATGCCTAGCAGTGTGGGTGTGTCTTCCACAGAAGGATGTCCAGCAATGGAATTTCTAGGTATCATGCAAGACCTACAGGGGGAGAAGTTCCCAGCCTGGTCTGGTGGCTGTCGATTAATGTGGCGTATGAGGTCAAACTGCAACTGATGTTTGGATGTGTAGTCAGAGGGGTGGTGGTTTGATAACACTGTGTGTCAGAGAGAGCAGTGGAATTACAGGGTGTAAGCTCTGCACAATCCCTACGTTGTATGTGTTAGCTTGTAACTGAGCTGGTGTCTGACAAGGTCTGGTCATTCGTTTTGAAGTAGATTGGCAGTGTGCTATGTGATGTCCAAGTGTGCTTGACACTTAAGAGTGTGTGTGATGGTGTTAGGGTCTCAGAAGAGCCTGACACCTAGCAGTGCATGTGGGGTAGTTGCAGGGTGATGTGTGCATTCCATGTCTTTTGGCTAGCCTCTTAAGAGTTGCCATGGAGTGTTGCAAGGCCCAGCAGGTCTGATATCCAACAGAAATATATGAGTTGATGGACTGTAGTGTCCAGGGGACCTGATACTAATATTGTAGATTATTGTGGTGGGCGTGATATTCAAGAGGGCCTGAACTCTAGCAGCATATGTAGAATTTCATTGGTATTAGGGTGTCATGTAGAGTCCAATACTATATTGTATTTGGGTGCAGTGCCAAGAGAGTGTTCTTTATGGCCTGATAAATAGCTGTCAATAAAGGATTATGTGGATGACATTTGGAATCCAGACCTAGGAATACATGTGAGGTGTGTGTGGGTGTTTGTTCAGGAAGGCCTGATACCTAGCAGTCAATGTGTGATTTGGTTGGAAGTCATGCATGGCCCACACTTAGAAATAAGTGTCTTAGAGGCTGTGTGTGTGTATATGTGTGTGTGTGTGTGTGTGTGTGTGTGTGTGTGTGTGTGTAATGTAGGTGTTGTTTATCTGGTCTGACAGCTGGTAGTAAAAGTGAGGTGGCATGGCTGTAGTGTCCCACGTTGCATTATACCTAGTGTTGTGTGTCTGTCCAGAAAGATTCCATGAGTATTTGAACCAAGCAGTAACTGTGTATCCTTGTCAGGAGGTCAAGTGTCCAACATTTCCCCATGTCTTAGTACAGTGTGGTTGGAGGCATGTCTAGCATGGTCTAGAATCTAGCATTGTGTGGGGGACAGCAGAAGGGAGTTGAATATCTAGTCCTAATACCTAGAGAACTATGTGGTGAGAGTGGGTAAGGGGTGTCATTCATGTCCTTACACTGACACTGTATGTACGTTGTTAACAAGGGGAGGGACATGGGTAGCACATGTGAGTATCTAGGTGTCAGCACTGCTGGTTTCCCAGCTGACTGGGGCATCCATACAGTGCTGTTATCAGATCCGCTGGACAGCTCATCTCCATCCCACACAATGGCACAGGTTTCAGCACTAGTCCACCACACAGCACACACAACGCCTCCACCTCCTCACAGACACAGAGCTTTCACTGGCAGAGATTTGTTGTCCTCTGGCGTGTGTCAGGGCCAAGCTCTCTCTAGAGGTCCTGGGGAGTGTCCTTCTCCAGCCATGCTCCTGCCTCTGTATATTCATGGCTGTCGGCAGCAGGGCTCCTGAGTCCGCAGTTCATCTGTGTTATTCTCCTTCCTCCTTCCTATAAGGCAGGCACTTACGTTGTCCTCTTCTATAAGTTTATGTGAACATTATAGTGTTTGTATTTGGGGTTAATTGAAATGGTGACTGTGTTCATGTTTCTTGTTTTTCTTTTTGGTTGTGAGCCTGGCCTTTAACGGATGAGCCATCTCTCCAGCCCATGTTTCTTGTTTTTAAAAGGGTTCCTTATTCTTGTTTTTAAATCTTTTTCTACAATCAATTGTGGACAAGCCACTCTCTCTGCCTTGATTTCCTTGGTTGACTATCAGAACATCAGCTGGCAGGATTTCACTGGGTGTTACCTAACTTTCTGTTCTGTTCCATGTGTCTGGTTTCCATTACTTCCCTGTAGCATTTGTGGGTCTTTGAGACTCGGTGGGAAGTCCTGGAAGAGGAAGATGATGGTCTGCAAGAATCTCTCTTGTCCTCTGCCCTCTCTTCTAGGTTCAGGTCCAGTTGGTTTTTACATCTTGTGTTTGAGCATCAGACTGGATTTTGCTGAGAGTATAGATGAAGTGCAAACCTCTGTTACCTTTAGAATAACAGCTGGTAGAACCTGAGAGCTCATATAGCTTCAGATTTCTCTCCTCCAGGGGTCAAACATTCTGAATGCCAATTTATACAAATTATGTTTTGATTCTAATTAAGTGAATCAGTATTTGTTTGAAAATTGTCTCTGTCTAATACCAGTGAAAGATGGGCCGAGGGTATGACCTCAAGTTCTCCTTCTTCATGTGAGTGGAGACCTGGGACAGGTGTTCCATGGATACTGCCCTTCTCATGTATCCATTCAAGAGTTCAGGAAGGGAAACACATTTAATTCCCAAGGTTCCTCTGAGATATTTGTTTACATGGTCAGGCAGGTTTTCTGGATTATCTGCAAAGACACAGAGGCATATGTGAATTTCCAAACTGTCAAAATGCATAGGGGTCCAAGTTGGGCAAGGCTTCAACAGAAAGTACCCACTGGGAGGCTGTCACAAGGGACCACTCCTGTAGATTCCACAGTTCTTGTTGTTAACTTGGAGTCCTTGTCTGTAGTTGGATGGTGGAAGAGAAACCATGTCATTGTCCTCCACAGCATGTCCTCCTGTTGCTGTGTGGAATCTCTGAGTTCCTCTGGAGCTCCGACAATGCCATGCTAGTCTGCAAAGCAGGGGAGGTGAGAGGTGCTCTTTTCCCTCCATGTCACTCATGGTAAGTGTGCACATACTCAGGTCAGGAATTCTTGGGTTCCAAGACTAGGGATATGTCCAGGCACCTATGAGAAAATGCTTCTGTTAGATCAAAGATGAGGCTGGCAGAAAACTCCTTTCCCACACTAGATCTGTGGCCTTTCAGAAAATAGCTGGTTTATTTCTGGTGGAGTTCAGGACATAATGAGGCAACAGTAATGTCCCTTTTCTTCCTATGTGACCTTCCTGAGGGAGAACTCAGTGGGGTCTCCTTGGAAAGCCCTGATTTCAGGGACTGGTTTGTTCTAGCTGCTCTGCTACTGTCCCATAAACAGGCCCTAGGACCAAGAAGGAAAAGCAGTTTCCACCAACATGTCTGTTTCTAGGTGCTGTGCTTCCTGCACCCAGATCACTGAACACTTGCCTAGATGACACAGGATGCACATATGGTGAAGATGAGGTTTGTCTGAACATATCCACCAGAACCTGCAGAACTGAGGAGAAAAGGTTGGTCAATGAGAGTTCTGGAGTTGACCTCTGAGACAACAGAGACCCAGGCTGTCACCACCCTAGCCATCCTATCTGTGTCAGTGTTCTGAGAGGAATCTAAACAGTTCCAACCAGTCAGGCTCTGTGCAAAACAGCAACCTACCCAGCATCACTAGGACTCACTTTTCTCAACTGGGAGGTGAGCATCAATGAGGGACTTTGGGGCAGTGAGTGGAAAGATATTGGAACAAAATCTGTACCTATTCCTGCTGCCTCCATGAGGAAGTAAGTGGGGCAAGGAGAGTATTAAGTGTTTGAACCTCATCATAAGATGACTTCTCTCACATAACCATCTAGAAGCCACCATTTCCTCCCTGCAGTGGCCACTGATATAAAAAGTTCACATTAAACTCATCTTGAAAAGCTACAATGGTAAACCCTGTCTCATTCAAAGATGTT